GTGACAGTGGGGGCGTAAAGTAAATATGCATTTTTTTTTTTATGGTTAAAGACTGGGCATTTTTTCCACACAGGAGCCTTAGCAATGTCGAACGTGATGTAAGAACAGGGTAACTGTAATCCTAGGGAAATCCTGTAAACTAGATTTGGCGATAAGGGTGGGAATAATGATGCATAACAATCAATGCCCATGGCCTACCGTATGGGGTATAGATGTAGAGAGTTTTAAAGTTAAAGATCAGGATGTTATACTGCAAATAAGATAAGTATAAATATAGCAAAATAAGTGTGTAGCGTGCAAGAAAAAAAAGAGGTTTGCAGCAGAGACTGAATATATGGGCATTTTGAAAGGATGTTAGCTTGGTTCTGCTTTTAGAAGGGTATACTCAGGGCTCGAGTCCTGCAGGAACGCTTGGGAACGGCGTTCCTGCACTTTTTCCAAAGCAGGAATGCCGTTCCCGTTACCTGTCCTGCAGGACCGGCCCTGCTACCTGCACACGGGGGCCATCACACGATGTGTTCCCTCTCCAGCTCTAACTCTCACAAGACCCGCGGCTGTTACCATGGCAACGCTCCGCACAGGCGAGTCTCACGAGAGTTAGAGCACTCACACACACATCATCCAGCACTCACACACACATCATCCAGCACACACACACACACACATCATCCAGTGCACACACACACATCATCCAGCACACACACACACACATCATCCAGCACTCACACACACATATCATCCAGCACACACACACACATCATCCACACACACACACACATCATGCAGCACTCTCACACACACATCATCCAGCACTCACACACACACATCATCCAGCACTCACACACACATCATCCAGCACTCACACACACATATCATCCAGCACACACACACACATCATCCAGCACTCACACACACATATCATCCAGCACTCACACACACATATCATCCAGCACTCACACACACGTCATCCAGCACTCACACACACGTCATCCAGCACTCGCACACACATCATCCAGCGCGCACACACACATCATCCAGCACACGCACACACTGCATTCATTATACACACTCTTCACTCACTACAAACACACTACATTCACTATACACCCTCTGCATTCACTATACACCCTCTGCATTCATTATAAACATTCTGCACGCACTACACACTACATTCACTATACACACTCTGCATTCACTACAAACACACTACATACACTGCATTCATTGTACACACTGCACTCACTACAAACACACTAAATTCATTATACACAATTTGCACTTACTACAAACACACTACATTCATTATACACACTCTGCACTCACTACAAACACACTACATTCACTATACACACTCTGCATTCATTATACACACTCTGCACTCACTACAAAAACACTATATTCACTTTACACATTGCATTCACTATACACACTGCACTCACTACAAACACACTACATTTATTATACACACTGCACTCACTACAAATACACTACATTTATTATACACACTGCACTCACTACAAATACACTACATTCATTATACACACTCTGCACTTACTAAAAACACACTGCATTCATTATACACACTCTGCACTCACTACAAATACACTACAATTATTATTCACACTGCACTCACTACAAACACACTACATTTATTATTCATACTCTGCATTCACTATATGCATAGGAGTGTAATTTTTGTTTTTTTTTAAGGGGGGGAGGCGGGAATCTTGGGTGAGTTCCCACACTTTTTTCCCCAGGACTTGACCCCTGCCCGGGACACTTATTTAGTTCAAGGTAGGCACCACTAGTAGACCAGTATGTGTAGGCAGCTGCCTATTCTGCCTGCTAGCACTGGCAAGTCTGGCCCTAGGTAAACGGAAAATATGTCCAAATAAATCACTAGAAAAGGAAGTCGCAATATAAACAGTAATAGGGTGCTCTTGAACAAGGGCTTACAATCCGTCAATGTCATGAAGTCAGAAGAAAAGATGGTCCAGGCATTCCATCAATTCAAGCAGCTTTATTGGACATGAACAGACATTGCAATGTTTCGGCCCACAATAGGGCTTTTGTCAAGTGAGCAATGTCTGTTCACGTCCAATAAAGTTGCTTGAATCAATGGAATGGCTGGACCACCTTTCTCTTCTGACTACAAAGAAATCAATTAGGAAGTAAATTGGATCCTTTGTAAATGCCAAAAAGCAAATTCCACATTAAAAGGAGAAGAATGCTGAAATAAAGCATAAAGTGTTTGGTAGGAAAGAAACTGTACAGTAGATTATTTAGCAGGACAAGCATTGCATTTAAATGCAACAAAAGCAGATTCACTGGTATCAGACTTAATGCAAATGATTCAAAGCAGGAACAAAGACCTGTAAAGAGACATTTCCTTAAACAGACAATAACTAAATTATGTATTCCAAGGTTAGGTAAACTTTTAAACTTGATATGGCAATAGAAGTAAGTAGATCTTTCAGAGTTGTACACAACAACGGTGTAACATGAACTGTGGTTTAGTAAGGATAACAATACAAGGTAATGTAAAACAGTGTAACAATGATCATATGATTCCTAGATACAGAGGTGGAAGTAAATGTATCTTATGCTCTCAGTTATGGAATGGTGCAGGTATTGAAGGTATTCCCCATATGGATCTCAATATATATATATACACAAAAACATTAATTAATACCGCACTCAAATATTTCAAGAATCTTTGTATAAATCTTCAGAAATTCATTTATTATAAACTAAGTACACCAAATTTACAATATAGAAAAAGTGATAATAAATAGAAAAAAGGACCACTCTTGCCAAATATAGAGACTGATGATCCCTCTCAATTCATATATAGTGAATACAACAAAATTTGATAATATGTACACTTGAATTATTTACAACTATATACAGTCTGTGAGTATATTATCAATCAAGCTGGAAGTTCATGTATACTCTGCTGGATCCACCACTAGTTGGTAATCTATTTAAACAGATAAATCTATAAAATTGAAAAAAACTAAAACTTAAAAAAGGGTAAAAAAATAAATTAAAAACTGTAAAGTTCAACAGATTGCAAAAAATGCATTGCTTGTAATATGAAATTGCCTGGATCTCACCACAGGTGAAAGAAGTTGTAGGTATGGACTGTGGAATGTAATCTGGAATCTTGTAGGTAAGTGTTTAGTGGAACGATGGAGAAATGATTCAAAAGTGTCGCCAATATAATGAATTGGATACATTTTGCAAGCATCAGAAATATGAAAGATGAATCTGTGAAGAACAAATACAGGGCCTTTTTTCGTGCTAGCATTCTTCAGCAGAGTTCTGCGCATAGTCTGCCCTAGAAGAGCATTGAACCAACATGCTCACTTTGAGAGGGGGCGTGCTTGCCATTGGTGATGACAAAACACACCCCCGTCTAATCCCACCCCCTTCTCAGTGGGCCGATGTGATTAAAAAATTCCAGGACCAAATTTTTTTCCCAGTCAGGCCCTGGGAGGGAGAGAACGGATTTTGTTCTTTATTTTTGATTGAAACATCCTGAAAAAAACATTTGCAACATACCTAGCAAATGATCATCGAGATTGATTGCTTGCATTTATATCTTGCTGTGTAAGTTCTTTTCTTGATTTGATAGTATGTTAATTTTGGTGAAAAAGGGAACACATCATGCAGGAAATGACTCCTCCCTATTTTTAACACAATAAATAAAAATTACACAAAACACATAACTTAAAATAATAATAATGAAAAAATAAAACTTCCTAGCAGACAGTAAAGTCTAAGATTCATCTTTCATATTTCTGATCCATGCAAAATGTATCCAATCCATTATGCAGTCCCTGCCCAACAAATAATGATCTTCGAGATTGATTACTTGCATATAATTTCTGCCTGTACTGTGTTCTTTTCTGGATTTTATATTATATTATAAACCTGAGAAATCAATGAGGCTTACTCTGGATTTGTAACACAGAGGCCTGCTTTTCTCATTTTGCCAACTTGTATTTCTCCTCAATAAAAAGTCAAAATAACATCTAAATAAATACACATTTTAAAATATTCTAAATATGCAGCGCTTCGACAAGCTATTACTTCAGCGAACAGACCCTTCCTTAATCATGAAGAGTACTTATGGCCGCTCATTTTAATCTATGGGATGTTTACTTCATACCCTATATATCTGTGTTTACCGTTTATAAGATTTGTACCGGGTCGATGTTTCACTCAACGTAGATAAAAAGTGGAGATACTCAATAAGTTATTTGCAGCCCAATTCACAGCTTTGTGACCTTACTGTGTATAGCAATGCGCCAAGCTGCCAATGCATGTGGGGGTGGCTATGACACTCTATAGAAGAGAAGAGAAATGCCTCTTCCAGTAAGATGATTCTAACCTAGGAGAATCTGAGGGGACAAGGTTATAGCTGAAGCATAATTAGCAAATTTCTGCAGTAAAGCTGGGTGTGGGTACTCTTTGAACCATTATTTTTGCAATGATGTAAAGGTATGGCGGTCAAATAAATTTAAGTTGTTATGGGGTATTAGTGTTCATTTAAAAAAAAATAGCACTAGATATAAACTAATTTAACCTGAGTTACTGCTTGCTTAAAGATAAATACTACTGGTAGGGTTATGAATTAATGGTTTAAAAATGAGGCCATTGTGTAATAGGCTCTCTCTTCTTTCAAACAATAGATCCCTGCGTGAGAGTTAATAATTACAAGTAGATGAACATTTATTGTCCACTTTATCTTATTCTCATTTCGTGCTCTGGGGTGGTAAGTTAATCTTATTAGGAGTCTCTTGTGATCAGAAAGGCATTGTGTCATTGTTCTATTTGAAGTGTAATGTGTATGCATGAGTGTGAACACCTAGTATGTGTAAAGCTCCCCATCTCAGGTACAGAACTTTGTGTCTATAGTTAGAATTCCCTATCAGGCGCAGTGCAATAAGTATGACCTGCTCATTGTTGATACTGAATTAAATAAAGCCACATTTGTATGTGTGTGATGGATCTGTGGACAGGTAGCAAGGTCATAACAGGAAACAGCACCCATCTACTTCATAGTCCTTTTCACACGACCAGTGTTGCAATCCCCACAATCCTATCATGGCAGGCCATGGTCAATAAAACTATCCCAGGTGGTAGCATACCGTACCTCCAAAGTGTTTATTTAAAAGTCCATCTTCTGGGTCAGAATCCTATTTATTTTCTAATTATTATTATTTATTATTTTATTATTTATATAGCACCATCAAATTCCGTAGCGCTGTACAGTGGGATGTCCTTCTTTTCTAGAAGTTCCATTTTTTTGATCTGAGCTATTGTCTGTGTATTAACAGAGCTTCATAGGAATAATAACAATAGGAATTTCACAGAACAATCTGCTTCTGGCAATACCTCTACACATCCCTAAAATCAATGTATCCCTCTTTTTCAATCTGAAATTTCAGAAGGTATGCCACCATGTTTGTGAAGAATAAAGACCTAAAGATAAAAATTGTTTTATTCCAATGCTACTCCAGGTGGAATAACATGTAGAATGTGTTTGCCTTATATAGTGGTAAAATATAACAAACATTTGGTGGAAGCAGCCAATGTATTGACTTGCAGTTAATAG